TAATATATAATAATATTTATTTATTAAGTTTAATTCGACAAAAATTCGATATATCGATGCTTGGAAATGATATAATTGAAAAAAAAATTTCGAATTTGCTTTTATCGAATGCAATGTATCCATTTATTATGTTTCTATTTTTATAATATAAAAATAAAATAAAAAATTATAACGATTGATCAATATATATTATAATTCTATAATAGTTAATAATAAAAATTATAAATAAAGTATTTTTAAAAATATTGAAATAAATTTTAAAAAGTTTTCTATGAAAATTCACATTTTTTTTAAATTAATGCCACAATCCATGTCAAGCAATGATATTTTGTCTATCGAAAAACAAGATTAAAATTATTACAATTAAATGGTTATTTTAATTGATTTTTATTAATGATTCCTTCGTTTATTCTCCGTGATTAGATTTGTCAATTGTAGTATTTTTTTATACTAATGAAAGATTGTTTCTTCCTTTAATGCAATCGTTTCAAATTTTTATACGTTATATTGAATTTTGAAGAAAAAAAATATAGGAAAACAGAATAATTTGATATATAATTTGAAATATAATCAATAAATATAATCATATAATCAAGTACAATATAATGTAATATATGATAGAACATAATGCATTTAGCTAGCTTCAGACAAATTAAGGTGCAACAACAAATCTTACTTATTCAATGTATATATTCAAAATATACTTAATCATTTAGTTTTGAATAATTTTAGAGATCCAATAGGTCATTTCATATGGAATAATCTAATAGAACTTTATAACTTTGATTATTTCTCAAGTGTAGTTATTTGATTATAATTTAATGTATCTCATTTGTATCGATATGTAAAAAATTTTGCATTAAGAAACAATCTTTCATTAGTATAAAAAAATACTACAATTGACAAATGTCATCACGAAAAATAAATAATATCATTAATAATTTCAAAAAATTTTCTGGTAATTGAGTTGGTCAATAATATTTATTATTCTTATTTATGTCAAGATATGATATTAATAACATTTTACTTATGAATTCTTATATTTTAATGCATTTTTATTTTTTTAAATACATATAAAAATTTAAAGTTCACATTTAAAAGCATTTTATAAAAAAAAAATAATTAAGATTTGTGAAATTTCTTATTCATTATTGAAGATCCAAAATGGAAGACAAATAAATTATAAATATTATGTTATTATTATCGTTATTATAGAGATAATTATTATAGAGATAAAAATATTATCAATTATATATTTGTTTCAATTTTTGTTTGCTCATTTTTGTAAATATATAAAAAAATATATAAAAAAATATATATAAATAAATATATAAAAAAAATCAGGTACAGTAAGTAACAAACAAGTTAAAAGCTTAATAAATAATTTGTGCTAAACTGAGAATTATTGTAGAAATAGATATGTAAAAAAAAAAAAAATCTAAATAAAATATTAAAAATCATAGATATTAAATTAGAATTTAAATTTAAAAAAGGAAAATTTCTTGATGAATTCAATATTATAAATTATTGAAAATCGATAATAATTAAAAATTTTTTTATAAAAAACAAATTAATTTAAAAAAAATGACAAATGACTATTTTGTAAGTATTAATCTTTTAAATTCAAAGATTTTTTCAAAATATGTTTGTTTTTAAAATTAATATCAAAATAAGAGAAATAAATTCCACTATGTGGAAATCCAAATATTATTATTTCATAAATTAGAATTTCGATATATCTATGATAAGTTTTTCTATAAAGATTTTCTATAAAGTTGAGATTGCTGGAATTTTCGATAACTGAAAAATTTAAAAAAATATATATCTGGTAATATTACAAAAATAAGATCAGTAGTTTATTTAGTTATTAGTTATTTATCAATAGTTTTTATAAATATCTTTATAATAATTTTATAATAATCTTTATAAATAGTATATATAATTTATAAAGATTAAATAAGATAAAATAATTTATAAAAATAACAATATAATATTTATGTATAAAATATAAATAATACAAAATATAAGAAAAAATATATAAAATATTTAATTTGAAATTATTTTGATTTTTATCATTATTATTTGCTAGCAATAAATGTTTATAAGCTTTGCATTTTCGATACATTATACGGAATTAAAAAAATGATCAAGAAAATTTTATTTTTATACTAATATATTACTGTTTTCGATGCATTACAGATAATTAAAAAGAAAATGATAAGGAATCATAAAATCTGATTCTTATGAAATCAATAGTTTCACTAAATTAGAATTAGGATTTTGTTTAATACACGTACAGTTAATTGTAAAAATCTTTGTACACTAGAATTCAATACAAAAGAATTTATGTAAATTATAGAAATTCTGATTTTGATTTTGTTTATTTTATATAGAATATAATAAGATTATGGTTATATATGATCTTTTTTATCGACAGAAAATTTTGAGTTAAAACTAACCTTCAAAGTTTCAAAATTTTTTAATGTTTTGAACACAATTTTGATTAATATATTTTACAACAGAGTGATAGAACATTGAAAATCTCTGCATTTTGTAAATTTAAAAATTTCATTCTTTCTCGCATTATTATAAAATTGTATTTTAAAAAATGAAAAATACAATTTAAGTGTTGATTCTTTCGAAATGATATTTCACTAAAAAAAAAGTTGTTCCATATAATATAATCCATTATAATCTACATAATTATAAAAGTTTTATTCAAATCATAAATTTTGATAATTCAAATTAATTAAGTATACATATAATATATAAAGATTTTTGTGACTGAATGTATATCAAGTTCACATGAAACATGTTAAAATATAATATTAAGTTGTATAATAAATTCGTTTGTGTTTCTTTGTAAGAATATTAAATATTGATATGTAACTTTATATAGAACTTACGTAATTAATAATTTATATCTTATGATTTTATTTTTAACTACATAAAATTTATCTTTTTTCGTATTAAATAAATCAAATAAATAATATTTATTTAATATATTTATTTCTCAAATATAACAATTAAATATAAAAATTAAATGAAACAAGATAATTATGGCGAAACGAATGACATTGTTTTTTTCAGAATATCATCTATGAGCAATGGTTATTTCTCCCATACAGTTACTTTCAATTAATCAGTAATTAAGTATTTTTCGTATGTAATTATTTTATTAGATATGATAAAACATTTCTTTGAAATTCTACAAATAATATAACAATATAACAATATAACAAAACTTTTTCAATTGTTGAACATGTTTATTATACAACCCAATAAAATATTTTGAATCTTTATCGATATCTTATCATTTTTATGGCGTTTCAAAGCTGCTTAACATTCGTTAACTCGATATTTTTCATAGTTTTTTCATAGTTTTCATTTTCATAATACATCAACAATCATCAAAAATGTAAAAATCTATTAATCATTTATAATAATTAATAAAACTATTTTCATATAAATAATTATATAATAACAATATCTTTTTATTATTAACAGACATTTTCTTTTTTTAATTTATTTTAATTCATTATATCACAATCTAAACTAAATAGATGATTTTTTCAATTAAAAAGGATTATACAACTAGCGATGGATTTAATCATTTTTAATTATTCTGGACTTCAATAAATATATAAGTGCCTCAAATGTTATTGTCACAAAAAAGATATCTTAGATTTATCTCTAAAACAATTTACACGCATTGAAATATGTTACGTACAAGCGATGGGTTTAAGTTAATGATTCAAAATTGAAATATCGCTGTATCGTATTACATTGTTCCATTGACAATCGAATGATTGATGGCAGTATCACTTTTGATTCATACTAAATTCGTGTAATTAAACAAAATATTGCTTGAATCGATGCATTGCAATATATTTCAATACTTAACTTTCGAAATTATGTCAAATAACACAAAAGTAAAACAAACTTGTACCAAAGTTCTCTATACACATTAAAACACACTATGATGCATATATCTCAAGGAATGGATTTAAGTCAATATCTTACACAATATTAAATATCGCAATACTATTTCCAATAATATATGAATTATTGAATCGAATCCATCATTTAAATCAATATCTTCTTAAATTGTAGTGTGTTTCAGCATCCGTAGACCGCTTCAGAAATATATCAAATAACATAAAATGATGCAAACTTATATCTAAATTCTCTATATACGTTAAAACACATTATATATCGATTCAATTTAAGTCAATTTTCAGCATTGTCTAAACTATTGATTCGAACCCATCACTTAAGCCAATACCATTGCAACGTGTTTCAGCATCTATAGATTGCTTTATGATTGTATCAAATAACACAAGACGAGCAAGCCATGTATCTAAAAGCCGCTACACATCTTGACACACGTTATGACGCATCGACCCAAGCAATGGGTCTAAGTCAATAGTTCACACGATGCTAGAACGCTATATCACTATCAGCGTTGGGTGAGCTATTGACTCGAGCCCATCGTTTATATCGATACATGTGTCGCAACACGTTTCAGTATCTGTAGTCCACTTTAGAATTATGTCAAATCTACACGTTGAAACACGTATATATGTATTGAGGATTTTAAATCAGCTTAAATATCGCTATATCACTTTCAATAGTGAATGAACTATTGACTCAAACCCATCACTCAAATTAATATCTCTATTAATAATATATTTTAGTCATTTGAATATATCTTTTTAAAATTGCGTCAAATAACATAAAATGGTACAAATCTAAATACTATACTAAAGATCCTGATACACATCGAAACATATTATACACATCGATTCGAGGGATGGGTTTAAGTCAATAGTTCACGCACAATTCTGAAGCATAGCTATACGTTCTATCATTTAGTCAGCTATTGACTCGATTGCATGCAATTGTAGTTTCAGCAACTGTAGACCGATAATCGATAAATGGAGTCACGCATATACTGTGAAAATATGTGAATACGAAACTTATCGCGAAGGATTACTCACCAACGGTGGAAGTAGCCCCAACACTGCTCCTTCCCGGCGTCGCGGCCGGTGTCGGCGGGCTAGCCTCAAGGCCTTGGTGTACCCCGTAAAGACTGAAATCTTGCTCGTTCGAACTCGTGCTGCTGCACTTTCTCTTCTCTTGGTTCAAGTGGAAAGTCTCGTTCTCAACGAGGCCGACACCGAGCAAGCCGAGGTTCGGCCTTAATTCGTCCATCAGTTTGTTCTGGCCGCAGTTGGCGGCAGCCG